ATCAAAAGTAGTGTGTGTCAAGGGTTGACATGTTTTTTGCACTTTACAGTGTTTGAAAGAAAGTAAGAAAAAACCACATCACATTTTACACACAATTTAAGAAATATAAATACAAATACAAGGGGCAAAAATATGCTTGCACAGGTGTAAGACTGCTTACGCGTAAAAAATATTAATAAGCAGTACATGCACGACGTTATTAATAATGAAACAAAAAATAAAAAAACAAATCATAAATTAAAAAAAAAATAATTGAAAGATAAAATGTGACATCAAATAGGTTTCCAACTCAGCATAATGCTACAGAGGCAGCGCTGGTTTTCAGTTGGAACCTTGTGACTTCACTAACAAGTCGGTGTTTCAAATGAGGATTCCCCTGTACGGCGAATAATCGGCGAAAGAAACTCCACAGCCGGGCTAGCATGGACAAGGGATAAAAATTTTATCCAACGATTATATCCACTGACAAGGGATAAAATTGTCTTATCCCTATGTCAAAGCTTTATCCACCCTGCGAGCATGGGCCTATGGTGGATATAATATCGACAGTAGATAAACTTATCCCCGCGCATAGATAATATACCATAGTATAAAGCTATAAACTATACTAGCTATAAACTAGTTTTAAGATTAAGTAGATTTACATTAACTTATATTTTCTTTTACCTTTTGTTTATTATATTGCTAAACTGTTCATAATTTTTGTTAAACAATATGTCATTTATAATATTTGTTATATTTATTTTAAGCGTATTTCTACCTTGTTTTTATTTTTTCTATTATTCTAATTCTTTCTTTATTTTCTTTTGTATAATATTTAAGTTAAATATACATTGCTTGTATCAAATCGCAGGTATTACTTCGCTTGTGATAGTATTTATTAAAAAAAATATGTGTTTAGAAGTAAGCCAATTGTGAAACTGGACAATACAGACCCTTTGGAGGTGATGTATAACCTCTTGAGGAAATTAAAAAAAATATATCCCCGCAATTACTGCCATTATAAGAAAATTACAAAATACATCAAAATTGATGTCTACTCTAAGTCACAAAGATTTGATTGAAAATGATGAAGCGTGAAGAATAAAAATGTAATGATTTCAAACAAAACGAATAAATAATTTTATAATCATGAGTAGGTATAGTATATTTAGCAAGCTTTGCTAAAGAATTAACATATTTCTTAATTTAAACCTTTGAATTGTAACTTTGCTAAGTTTGATAACTTTATTTTAAAACGTTATAATACTTACCTAAAATATAGTATAGACCGATTCTATTATCATTAAATTTGACTTGACCATGGACTCGCTTTGGGTATTGTTGACACAACCTATGTAATTAAATCATGGCATTGAGCTATTACCGGTAGTACCGGTAGGCGTAGTGTAGAGCGACCCCCCATTAGATGGAGTGACGACCTGGTAAGACATGCAGGAAGTCGATGGATGTAGGTGGCTCAGGACCGTGCTTTGTGGCATTACTTGGGGGAGGCCTATGTTCAGCAGTGGACTTGTGAAGGGCTGTAGTGATGATGATGATGATTGAGCTATTGAGACTTTTTTGGTCAAGGTGGTTGTAATAGATGCTTACTTCAATATGCACTGGTAGTCCATCCACAGAATTAATAGGCTTTAATGCCTCATAGAGTTCTTTACACAAATACAAAACAATCTTTAAGCATCCGAAACCGGCGTAGAAATTCGTTGTCGGAGAATTCCAATAGATTAAGTATTCTGATCACGTATCGATCGCTGATGTAATTCTCTTTCTTGTTTTTCAATTTCTGACACGAAAATGTAGTTGCAATAGGCTCGAGACATCTTTTTTTGTATTAAAATGGTATGAAGATAAACTTAAACCCACGTCCGCGAAAGAGGATAAAATTGTCCCTTTCAAATGTCAAAAAAGGGATAATTTTTTCTCTTTCCCTTGGCCCCATGCTACGGACGGGGAGATATATGTCCACTCGTTATGTCAAACGGGTATATACTATAGAGATAAGATAATTTTACCTCTTGTCAGTGGATATAATCGGGGGATATAATTTTTGTCTCTTGCCCATGCTCGCAGGGTGGATAAAACTAAGCAAGGGATAAAAATTATATCCTCTCTCCGGGGATATATTCTCTCCGGCTCATGCTAGCCCGGCAGGTTTCTGGCCCCATGCTACGGACGGGGGAGATATATGTCCACTCGTTATGTCAAACGGGTATATACTATAGAGATAAGATAATTTTACCTCTTGTCAGTGGATATAATCGGGGGATATAATTTTTGTCTCTTGCCCATGCTCGCAGGGTGGATAAAACTAAGCAAGGGATAAAAATTATATCCTCTCTCCGGGGATATATTCTCTCCGGCTCATGCTAGCCCGGCAGGTTTCTGGCCCCATGCTACGGACGGGGAGATATATGTCCACTCGTTATGTCAAACGGGTATATACTATAGAGATAAGATAATTTTACCTCTTGTCAGTGGATATAATCGGGGGGATATAATTTTTGTCTCTTGCCCATGCTCGCAGGGTGGATAAAACTAAGCAAGGGATAAAAATTATATCCTCTCTCCGGGGATATATTCTCTCCGGCTCATGCTAGCCCGACAGGTTTCCTTTTTGTTACTTTAGTAAAAGGCAACGATACAATAATCCTAATCAAAAACAATAACTGATTTTGTGACTAAAAGTTTTTAATATAAGGTAGGTGAGGGTAATGTGATCATCTTAGGCTTTGTCTCCTTATAAAACCTAAACCAGGAGAAGGACAGAGACATAAAACACAAGGTCGTATACTATAACTACTAAATTAAGAAAAAATAGCAAACAAGCTTTGACAATAATTAGCAAGAGTTCGGAAAATCTACTTGAAAAAAATAACTATACTAAAGTCTAAACCATACCAAAATCGACTAAAATATTTACTATAATATCAACTGTCAAAATGGTGTCGATAAAGCAGCGCCCTTTTGACACTTTATTATTTTATTGACTGATGAAGAGCTATCGTATCATACAGCCATCTATGCAAACAAGGTTTTTGAGTTATAAGAAAGTGGCCATATTAACCGGATGACCATATTACCCACAAATACTACCGCATAATTTTTCATACTCAACTTTCTAGACTTAAAAAAGAAGGGCTATGTTTTTCTTTTTTTTTAAGTTTATTGTCGTAATGGTTATTGTGGTTCTATTAGTCATAAACAGGATTAATCTATACATATTACGTTAAATAAGTCTATAGAAAAGTGTGTGTGTGAAAATGAAACTGATCTACGCGATCAGTTTCATTTTCACAACCACACCAACCAAAAAGGGCAGAATAGTGTTTGCCTGGTGTTTAATATGATTGTTAGATACGATTTCGTGCGTCAAAAAATTGGATTCTTGATTTTTAGGCACACACGCTTTGCGCTTAAGGCATGCAAAATGCAACATTAAAATTAATAAGTGCGAACTCTAGCAGACCCATCTTCGCAAGTATAACGCATGTGGCATTCATCATGACCAGGGAAGTGGACGACCTGTAATACGACGCCACCGTGGCCATACCGCCACAACATTCGTAGTCTATCAAATCTGATGTAATGGTTGGGGCCGCCTAAGATATCATCATAAACTACAGACTTCCCGGAACGTTGATCATATTAACCGGAATTGTGATCATATCTTAGGCGGCCCTAACCATTACATCAGATTTGATAGACCACAAATCCTGGCGAAAGAACATGTATTCCTACCAAGGATGATATGTGAGGCTATTGAAATTAAAAAACATCATAATTTCAATAGAGAAGGAGGCTGGATACTACTACCTGCTTGGGACCCTGTAATTAATAAAATTAAAATTAAGCCCAAGCATACCAATGCAAGACTTCAAGACAGAGTAAGTTCATTCTGCATAGATCGGACCATACACTATGATTAAAAAGCAGATGGTATTCCGGGTCATTGACATCGGGACCTCAGTCCCCTTAGTCCCCCGTGACCATGGGTGCTGGAAAGCACCCGAAACGTTGGGTGCTGGAAAGCACCCAACGTTTCGGGTGCTTAATATCCGTAAAAATAGTTTTAATCAATGTGTAGTGTTCGCTTAAATATAATAATAATAATGTCCTCCAGACCGAATTTCGGCCACGGTGGCCTGCCTCAACGGAGGCTATCCATCGGTGCAGGACAGGATTATAGTGCCCAAGTGTATGCGCAAGCACAGGTGCACTATCTATTCCCTCACTCTCATAATCCGATGGGACGGTAAACCGACACAACCGGAGAGCGATCAGGCGCAGGACCAACGGCTTTACGTGCTTTCCGAGGCACGGGGGTGAGGCATCGCCAAGTTCCTGATTCCAGGCGGCTACTGAGAATTTCTTGACAGAAAAACTCAATAATTGATTTTTTGGCCCGACCCGGGATTCGAACCCAGGATCTCATGATCAGCAGTCGCACTACTACAACCGTTAGACCAACGAGGCAACGACGCGTAAATATAATAAATCATTAAGTACATAATTTTTTTGTATCGAACATTAGGTTTTTGGCCTAAGATTTAGAACTAAAGGCCAGAATAATATTTTATGAGTTAATTGTATTAGCAGTTTTATTTTTTAAAACTTTCATTTAACACTTTACAGCTGAGGGAATATTGGGCTTGTTTTTGCTCTTCTGTCAGTCAATCATTGATGAAGAGATATATTAGATCTAAAATAATATAGAAGATATTTATTACAGATTATTAAATCATTTTGTTACAACAAGCTTCAGTCCTGAGAAACAATTAATTAATGATACAAAATACTTTAGAAAAAGCTTGGTATCGATCACCTTATCCCCAGGGATTACAACCGTTCGTATATTAATATGACTGGGTCCTAACTCTCTTAATGCAATCTAAGTTTAGTAAACTTGGTGATAGACAAACCTTATACATTTTGTAGGATTTTGTTTTAAACGCATTCATTGTCCCATTGTACATTGTCCGTAAAGGGATATTACTTACCCGGATAAAAGGGTTTTTCTTTGGCAGGTCATGGTCGACTTCGTCCCTGGACTCCTCGTCGTCCGCGGAGTTAACCCGCACGCAGGTTTTGTGTAAGGTCTGCGGTTCACCCATTCTCGGAATTCATTATACACGTATCACGCGTTTGAGTGTACGTACGTACACTGTAATCACTATCACAGCACTAAAACGTGCACAAATTAAAAAAAAAAACTGCGTCACTTTTTCAAATTTCGAACTCGATTAATTAGGAACGCGGCATATTTTAAATGGCGTTTAACACGATTCCAACGCACGGCTTCACTCCACTTCACAGATCTGTAAAGAAAAGATGGCGTTAGTGCATTGCGACATCCGAGAAAATGAGTAATTTCAGCTAATAATGATATCACGCAACTCAAGTGTAATTTGTTTACAGTTTGATAGCACATCTTGATGATTAATTTCGTACGTGCTGAGTAAACCTATTAAACGATGATAACAGGCTAAATGACCTAAATTAAATCTCCATTCATAGTTTTTATTGCCACGTGGCGCCATAAGTTAATTTGTTACCCCATTTGACCCGCACGTTACGCAAGAGGCGATTATGAGTTTGGGTCAGCACACCTCAAGAGAAGCCAGTACAGCAGTGAAGAAGAGAGAGAGCAGAAGAAGGAAGAATTGTTTTTTTCTTGCACCACTCAACATAGACCTCTCTCATTGTAAGAAGGATTTGTTGCTACGCTTAGTAATTATACGTGGTAGAGTCATGCTGCAGTTATATTACGGTTGTAGCACGAATGGGTCGGCTCGACCGAGGAAGGACCACGCTCTCACAGAATACCAGCGTAAAGTAGCAGCTTATTAGCTGCTGTGTTTCATATGGTGAGTGTAGAGATCCGGAGACCCTTTTTTACTAGAAACGAGGCTTTCCATCTTAGTCCCCAGGTGTGACAAAGCATCTGCGTTTTGATTCTTAATTGAGGTTAAATGTAGATGTCTATGGGCCGCAGCATCCACTTACCATCAGGGGGACTGTGAGCTCGTATGTTACTCTTATTCTATAAAAAGAAGTCTGCGCTCTTGTTTTATAAATGGACTAGTGATACGCCCGGCTTCGCACGGATAATTTCTGGATCTCGACAACAGCGCCATCTACCGGGTCCAATTGAGCTTTTAAACCATCCAGGAATCCACTCAAATACACACAAAAATTGTACCTTTGAATAAAACTTTGAATAAAAATTGTACCGATAAATTTTAATATTCATTATACCCCGAACTATTTTTTTTGCTTTTATTATGACACCCCCGAAACCTTCGTGAATTTTTTAAAATTCGTTCTCAGTCCAACTTTATTTCAAACCTGTATGGCATGTATAAGAGCTATAGATTCAAAGTTTTTATTTTTTTATTTTTAACGCTCCCGCGCTGCCTTTTATGGGTGAAATTTCATAAAAATCCCTTCTTGGTGACTAACAGGCCAAAAACAATATTCTGGCCTAGGTTTATACCTATAAGAGCTATAGTTTGAAAATGCGGTTTTTTTTTAATTAACTTCCCCGCAACTCCTCTTGCGGGTAGAATTTCGTAAAGTCCGTTCTTAGCTGACCTCGGCGAAAGGAATATTCCTACCAAATTTCAAGTCTCTAGGCCTTATGGTTCCAAAGATATCGTGATCGGTCAGTACATAGGCGGAAATCTCTTATATATGTTACCGGCCAAACTCGATTTCGGGCCAAACTAGTTTGTCCTAGGCCAAATCGGTTTATCTAACGCGTGTCAAACATATAGTTTAGCCCAAGACAATCCAGTTTGGCTTAAATATTTTGGCTTAATTATTTTGGCATAGGCATATTTGTTTTTTGATAAAATCGCTCAAATCTGCTCTTAAACAGAATGAGCATGCCCCGACTCTACGTAGTCTTGTCTGCCCTACCCCTGGAGTGTTTTTATAAAGCCGTAGGCACGAAGGGAGAGTAGCCCCCGCCTGCCGTAGCAAATCGCAGGTACCTGTGCGAGCCGCAGCGGTTGAGGCTGTTCGCCGAAGGGTATTGGAGCCAAAACTGTGGTGAGCTTAGGTGCCTGTGATTTACTACGCAAGGGCGAAGGGGCTGCACTTCCAGCAGCAACGAAGCTGTTGCAGAAGTAAATTTAGGTCAATAGTAGGTTAGGTTAGGTTAGATTAGATTATGCAATGATTCAATCAATTTTGCCAAGGCCAAACTAGTTAAGTCTGAAGTATTTAGGCCAAACTTTATAATATGATCTTACCCTGGGCTACACTAGTATGTCCGGACACGCGTTGGATAAACCGGTTTGGCCTAGGACAAACTAGTTTAGCCTGAAATCTAGTTTTGCCGCTAACATATATATTGGATAACCCTTTTTACCGTCTGGAAAAAAACAGGATGTAACATACATACATACATATAATCACGCCTCTTTCTCGTAGGGGTAGGCAGACACCACTTCTTTCCACTTCCTACGATCCTTACATACTTGTTTCGCTTCGTCTACTTTCATTATTCCCTTCATACATGCTCTACGGTTTAGGGTACTCTTAACCTGGCCTTTTTTCAAGACGTCCCTAATTTGGTCTAGAAAAGTCCGCCTAGGTCTACCCCTTCCAGCACTTCCATTCACACTCGCCTTATACACTTTTTTCGTCAATCGTTCTTCATTCATTCTCTCGATGTGGCCAAACCATCTCAGCATACCTTTCTCAATTTTTGATGTGAACGGATTAAAAGCCTATGGCACTGATATTTTAGAATAAATGGAAACAAAATTTTTTAATAAAACGTTTGAATTTCATGAACATGAATTGAATCTTGATCGTCCTACGAACGTAAGTTTGAGTATAATATCTAAGCGGCGATATTGGCCTAGTATATCACTTGGCAACTTCAGTTTCTTATAATTTTGATATCTTATCAAAACGATGCTGCTGCCCATCTCCTGCTTCAGTTTCCCTCTGTCACTCACGGGATGACGTTGGGTAGTCCTCCATTACCATTACACGATGCATGCTACTAGCATGCATCGTGTAATGGTAACAAGAATTAAGGTTTAATTTCATTTTAAAAATGCCCAGATTATCCTAGTAATTATAAGTAAATCGCCGTGAACCGGTGTGGCGCGACCTCGCATAGAAATGCGGGCGAATCAGAGCGTGGAGCTATGTTGCAGTGATGAACGGAACTCGGACAATGCGCGATTGACTAGGTACTCACACTTACGGCCTGGTCACGGGGACCGGCGGCGCGAACGGCGAAGCGACAGGCGGGGCGATAATTCGCGCGGCGCTGGGCCACGGGAAGTCACGTTTGCCGCCGCGACCAGATAGGCCGAGAGTGAAATGTCTTTATCAAAGTAATCTCGATATTGCTTAGAAAGTAATTGTTTTTTGATTCAAGACATAGTATTAGGAAGAGATTGCGGAGTACACGATTTGAATAAAAATTGGGTTATAGATGGAGAATTCCACAACAAATAGAATGCATCTAGAAAAAATTTTCGAGTAAATACCAAAATGAGTGTCGAAACCTGCGATTATATTCTTGTTAATATTCTCAATATTTTTCATCACGAGCTGATATAAACAGACGATACGTAACCGATGAGTCAAAGTATATTTAGTAAAATATATTATAACAAGGCTGCTCGAAACACCGAAGATTTCAATTTTCTCAGTAAAAAAATTGAATATAACTAAACAACACAAAATTGAAAACTGACATTTACATTCCATGGCTTCTCATATGATAGATGAAGAGATTAAAAAATAGATTGAGTTGAACAATTGATATTTACAAAAGTTATCGTGTTTGCCCCCCCCCCCCCCCATGCGGACTTGATAAATTTACGACACAAGCTACTAAAACAACCTTTTTAATGTAAAAATAGCAATTAATCGATTTAAAAAAAAATTGGTTCAACAATCATTTATCTTTCTATGTACTTTTTATATCGTTTATATGTTCAATATCAATACGATTGTTAGATACGATTTCATGTGGATTCTTGAGTTTTAGGCGCCAGTAGAACATACCTACGCGCTTTGCGCTTAAAGCATGCAATACTGTTATGTAATAGTCACAAAACTAAGCAAGTGTGGATTACAGGAGCAATATGAATGCAAAGCCGTGAAATTAGTGTTAGCGCTTTGGCAGGGACTTGAAGCGTGAACTTACGATACAATAGTTCAAGTACAACAAGTACTTACTCTACTACCTTACTTATCATCACAAGTTCACACGCGATTAATCAAATATTTTATCAAGTATCTTAATAGATTTACTGTAGTTATATTATCATTTATCCTAATTTTTAATAGCTGTTTGTATTCCAAATAAAATAAAATAAAATGGTACCTCCTCTATACTATTCATTCATTCTTGGTGAAACTTTTAATGACGATCCTACTGTTATTATAGAAATTATCTTTGTAGATCAGATATGTATGCATTTTTTTACATTTATTAAGATATTACTGGATTCAAATTCACGAATTACACGGCTGTTAACCGCTGTGCCATGCAGAAGTTTATGAGTAGTTTAACGGTGGCATGAATATTTTCCTTCGCTAGAGTCGGCTGGTTACACACTGTGACTAAAAGTCAATGCGTTATAGGGTTGTCACCTCAATTAATAAGAAATCCGGGTACCGAGAAAAACGGCGTATAATACAAAATTTTTACCTTAAAGGATCTATATAAATTTATATAATCTAAATTTATATAATCTATCTAAATTTCACAAAATCTGTTTTAAGAAAGCAGTCACTGACTTTTCTTGCCACTTTTCAAGCTTAATCCTGGTCTTTATGTCTTACTGTTTTTTCCAATGATTTGTTACAGAATTAATCATCATCACTATCACTACAGCCCTTCACAAGTCCACTGCTGAACATAGGCCTCCCCCAAGTAATGCCACAAAGCACGATCCTGAGCCACCTGCATCCATCGACTCCCCGCATGTCTTACCAGGTCGTCACTCCATCTAGTGGGGGGTCGCCCTACACTACGCCTACCGGTACGAGGCTGCCACTCGAGAACCTTTCTTCCCCATCGGTTATCGGTTCTTCGAGCTACATGGCCGGCCCATTGCCACTTCAGCTTACTAATCCG